GTGCGCTGTACGCACCGACGTCTACGCCGCCACCAACTCGACGAACGACGTCCCGTAGAAGAGGCGTAACACGCCAGCAGGGACAAGGGGGGGGGTCCCGGGGTAGCTCCCAGGGGGGGTCCCGGGTTTATGCGCCGCCCTCCCGGGGAATCCCCAAGCCCAAAAAAGCCCCAAGACCGGCCAAGAGTGCTCCAAGAGGCCCCCAAGATGATCCAAGAGGGCGCCGAATCGCCGAATGATCTGTCCAAGACGCCTTGACGGCCTCCAAACGGCCCGAAACGCCTGCGAGACGCCCCAAAAGGCTTCCAGGACCCTTCCCACGAGAGCCCCAAGAGGCACAAGTCATGGATTGCCCATGCGTTTTTTTCGAGGATTTGGGCGTTCCCGCCTCTTCCACTTCCCCACGCGCCAAGACAGCCCAAGAGGCTCCCAAGATCGCCCCGACACGGCCCAAGAGGCCTCCGAGAGGGTCTCCAAACGGCCCAGAAGTACCCCAAGACGGCCCAAGACGCCTCCCAGATTCACAAAAGGCCCCCAAAACGGTTCCAAGAGGGCGCCCAGACGGGGACCCGAACGGACATTTCGAGCCCTCTGCCCCGAGAAGCTCCCAAGAGGCCCTCCAGGAAGCCCACAGAGGCCCCAAGAGGCTCCCGAGAGGCCCCAAAAACTCTCCCAGGAAGCCACAAAACAAACTAGGAAGTTACAAAACAACCGGGTATTCCCTCCTCTTCGACCTTGTCCTCCTCCGCCGCCTGTTCCTCCTCCTCCCCATCATAGAACGGAGGAGGGACACTTTCCCGAGCGCGGCAAGCGCGCTTTCAACGCCTCCGACGTCCGACAGCGCCTCGCAGCCACCGTCCGATCCGCGAGGGCTGGCGCGCCCAGACGACAGGGTCGTCTCCAGGGTCGGCGGCATCGGCCGTAAGGCCTTCGCAATAATTCGTAGAGCTCTTTGGGAACCAGGGCTAGAGGCATTCGGGTCCACTGCACAGCTAGTTGATCGAGTTGGCAAGAAGGAGCGCTCTCGGCGGGGCGCAGCTCCTCCAGGGCATCGCGGAGCGAGGAAGCCCCCCCCTTGAGGGCCAGCGGAAACGTCCGAAGCGGAACCCTCCGACGTCGCACACTGACTGCAGGCTTCCCCGTCCGAGTATAGGTGGGGGCTGCATCGCCGCTGCCTCAGGGCTGCGTCTGCGACTTTGGCGGTGCATCGGCAACGTCGGAAAAAATCGGGCTCAGCATGGAGCCGCATCGCCGATGCATCGACGACGCGGCGCGATCCTTCGGCCCCATCTGCTCGGACCCCATGTCAGAAGCCTGGGCCGACACCCTGAGCATCGCTTAACCGATCCCCATCCCCACCGGCATGGCCTTGGCCCCACTGACCGATTTACCCCCTAGATGGGGACCTCTGCGGTTCCCTTCGGGTTTCGTGGGGCCTAAATATTCGAGTTGCCAGCTTGGGGGGTGAGCTGGTGGGGCTCAGATACTATGGTCAAGTGGGGATGGGGATCGGTTGCCCCCCCCCTGACTCTGGATCCGCTGTACGTTGGTTGTTTTTCCGACTTGAAGCTGTGCTGGAAATACCCTCCAAACGATGCGAAACATCGAGGCGGAAATTCTCGGCACGCGGCTGCAAAGTGGGGTGGGGCGGAAAAAATCGGCACTCACGAGGCCTGAAGAGTAGGGCGGATGTGTCCGCCCCGCGGCCTCGACCTGGGACAGAGAAGCACCCCGCAAGAACACGAGCCGCGGGGCCCTCCGCCAGCCAAGCTGCGAGCACCTCCGAGGTAGCCTCCCCCAGAAGGCACCAGAGCATCCAACACCACACGAAGGACCCTGTTAGGAAGGCACCAACTATACACCAACACCGATCCTGGCCAGGATAACCCTGGGCCCAGGATCGGTGTATACGCCCTCCTGCCCTGCGCAAGAAGGCATATACACCGATCCTGGGCCCAGGGTGATCCTGGGCCAGGATCGGTGTTGGTGTATAGTTGGTGCCCTCCGACCTGGGGCAACCTCTCCCCGAACCGGCCTCGGCCTTCTGTCTCGGGCCGACCGTGCTCGGAGAATCGCCAAGGTGTGACAGATCCAGGAGTCTGGGCTCGGGCCGGGCACGTCCTCCTGCAGGCGGATCCTGGGCGAAAACATGTTAGGATGGCCAAACAAAAAACCTCAAAAACACCGTCGAAGCAGCAGACAAATCGCCCCCCGACCAGTGCTTTCTACTATCCTTGAGCATTCCTCCTTCAAGAGTCGGGGAGACGTAAGACCCGGGTACGGGGGACTCGGGTTGGCCTGACGGGGGCCATCATAAAAATGACGAGACCCAATCTGAAATTTGACGCGGGCTCCCGCTGCAAACATCCCACGAAAACGGAACCGTCAAAATCCAGGACCCGCTCGCCAAAAAAAGTCGGCAAACCCGAGATCCGGCTTACTCGAGTCTTACGCTTCCCCAAAAGAGGGGCATGCCCGACTCGAGTCTGCGCTCGCCGAGGCGGGGATGCCAGCTTCTCGAACTCCACCTGCGCGGCGACGGTGGGCCACAACTCCCGGCGCGCGACGGCGGAGTACTTCACCGCGAGCCGGTTGCCGTCGGAGTCCAGCACCTGTGCGCGCCGCTGCCACGCGGCGGCCCGGGCCTCTGACATGCGCCTCTGCTGGTCCTCCTCCTCCTCCTCCTCCTCCTCCTCCTCCTCCTCCTCCTCCTCCTCCTCCTCCTCCTCCTCCTCCTCCTCCTCCCCCCTCCCCCTCACCCTCCCTCTCCTCCTCCTCCTCCTTCCTCCTCCTCCTCTCCTCCCTCTCCTTCTCCTCCTCCTCCTCATCCTCTTTCCTCCTCCTCCTCCTCCTCCTCCTCCTCCTCCTCCTCCTCCTCCTCCAGCCTCTCGGGGCCGCTCTCGGGGCCACCGAAGCCCCAAATCTCAGGCGACGTGGTTTCCAGCTGGCGTTTCGGTAGAGGCTTCTCACGGCCCCAAAGGGCCCACGACAGACGCCCAAGATCGTTCCAAGATCGTCGCAGAGGCCTTCCAGATGGCTCCATGACGGCCTAGTAAGTCCCCAAGATGACTCAAAGACGTCCCGAAAACTGCCCAGGCGGCCTCCAAGACGCCCAAAATGGCCTCGAGGGCGGCCCAGATGCCCCCGAGACCCGAGAGAGCCCAAGATGTCTCCAAGACGGCCTAAGATGCACCCAAGACAGCATACGATGGCCTCAACATGGTCCAAGATGGCGTAAGAAGCCCCCAAGGGGCCTCCAAGACGGTATCCAAGAGGACATACAGGAAGGCTCGAAGAAGCCCAAATCCTTGACTTTCCTGAGGTGTTTGATGTTCTTGGCTTTTGCTGGTTGTAGTCTTCCGACGGCCCAAGACGGCCCAGAAGACCCCCAAGATCGCCCCAAGACCCCCACTAAGGCCTTGAAATGGCCCCACGACGGCCCAAGAACCCCCAAAGACGTCGCCAAGATGGCCCAACAGGTCTCCAAGACAGCCAAGATGGCCTCCAAGACAGCCAAGATGCACCCGAGAGAGCCCAAGATGGCCGCGAGATGTCCCCAAAATGGTCCAATATGCACACAAGACGGCATAATATGGCCTCAAGATGACCCAAGTCGCCTCCAAGACGACATACACGAAGGCCCGAGGGAGCTAAAATAATTGATTGCCATCTGATGTTGAAGGTTTTGGGCTGCTCCTCCTTTTCGGCCATCCGACGGTCCAAGACGGCCCGACAGGACTCCAAGGGACACTCAGGAAGGCCCGAAGAGGCCAACATCATTGATTTGCTCCCCCAAGTGTTCCCCGAAGGGTTTCCAACACGGCTGGGTGAACACGTATTCCGATAGCTTGACCGAGCTCTGGTCACGACGTTTGGTCACATAGGTGCTTTTAAAAAGACAGGGGGCGGTGGTCACCGTTGATGTCTTTGATATATATATATATATATATATATATAGAATACAACTTATAAGCAGAGGACCACATTGGCGCGTCGCGCCATGCACCTTGGTTCTTCGAGTTTCGCGTGAAGGCGGCTTGTGTGCGAGTGTGAATTCGCACATTAATATGCGCGTGCATGTGTACACGCGCACGTGCATGCACGTTGTACATAGATGTTTACGTATGTCTGTCTGTCTGTCTGTCTGTCTGTCTGTCTGTCTGTCTGTCTGTCTGTCTGTCTGTCTGTCTGTCTGTGTATATATATATATATATGTGTTTATGTCTGCATGTGCATGCACGCATTGATGTATGCATGCATGCATGTGTATGTACACATATATGGCTGCACGTATGCATGTATGCATGTATGCATGTATGCGTATACTCATGTATGTGTGTATGTATGTATGTATGTATGTATGTATGGATGGATGGATGGATGGATGGATGGATGGATGGATGGATGGATGGATGTATGCGTGTATGTATGTATGCATGTATGTATGTATGTATGGATGGATGCGTGTATGTATGTATGTATGCATGCATGTGTGTAAGTATGTATGCTTGCATGCATGTACGTGTACTTATGATAAGTGTATAAGTGTGTATATATAAAGCACGTATCGTTAATGTGCATACATATGTATCATGCCTGCTTGTCTATGTCTACGTTACACACACGCATGTATGCACGTACACATAAAAGTGGACGCGCCTGCGCGCACGGGGAGTGACACATCAACTCGCCGGCCCAACAGGACACGGGTAACAAATATTACAAGATTCTAGTTCGCGCGCGCCCGCGTAGCGGCCCCTGGGGGTGCCTGGTCCAACAGCACCCCGGGCACTGCTGCCCAAGGACGCCGGAACTCCTGGGGCCCATCTTCAAGGCTCTCAGGATCGTCTCAGAGGGCCCCAAGAGGCCCCCACTGCAGTCCAAGAGGAGTCCGAAAAGCCCGAGGATCGCTCCAAGACGGCCAAGATGGCCTCCAGACGGCCCAGGCCTCCAAGACGGCCCCAAGAGGCCTCCAAGCGAAGATGCTAAAAATGCACGTTTTCCACAAGGATTTTTTTTGTAACTCATCGAACATGAATGGAATATGACCACAAAAGAGCTCGAACTTTGTCGCGGAAGGTACGGAGGGTGCAGCCGCAGGCGTAGGCATCCCGCGCAACCACGACTGTAGCACTGGGCTGCATCTTCGTGCCGGTCGCCTGCGCCCTAGACACTACTTGCGCTCGAACATCGCAAGGTGGCTCTCCCCGACAGGGCGTGCCGAACAACCCCACGCATGGCTGTACAACAACGTGCACGTTCTGGCTGTCCCAGGGGAAGGAGCCGTGAATGACACACTGGCAACGGAGGCAAAGCACGTCAGTTGTGAAGAAGCCATGCTTACGCTTGACTAATTGAGGTGTCAAATCTCGGTGCCTGCTGGGACCGAGTCAGACTTACATGCAAGCAACAACTTAACAGCAAAGAACCTCAATGGACTCCTTTTCATAAACCTCAACTTAACAGCAAAGAACCTCTCTGGACCGAGAGCTTGCCTCAATATTCATTCCAGAAGAGTGATAGACTTCCCACGCTGCAGTGGTTACGATGTTGCTCGCTCCCTCCCCTTCCACCTTGCTTGCCTCTTGGAGGCTCGCCTGAAGGGCCTCTTGGGGCGTCTTACTGGCCTCTGGCCCGTCTTGGGGACATATTGGGCCGTCTGGAGACCGTCTTACGCTGCCGTGGGGCTCTCCTGGAAAACTAAGGCCCTCTTGGGGAACTCCCATGGCCCTCGTGAGTCCCTCTTGGGAGCCGTTGGGGGCCTCGTGAGCTTCTTTGGGCCGTCTTGGGGCAGCCTTGGGGTCCTCTTGGCCTGGTTTGAAGCCCTCTTGGGGGCCTCTTGGGCCGCCTTGGGGCGATCTCGCAGGCTTCCTGGACAGTCTTGGACGCTGATACGACACCCAAAGCGAATATACCAAAAAAACGTCTTCCTCAGGGAATGGGATGATGTTTGCCTCTTACGGGCTCTCCTGAAGGCCTCTTTGGGCGTCTTTGGGGCCTCTTGGGCCGTCTTGGGGGCCTCTTGGGCCGTCTTGAGATCGTCTTGCGCTGCCTTGGGGCTCTCCTGGGGAACTTGGGCCCTCTTGGGGACCTCCCATGGCCCTCCTGGGTCTCTCTTGGAAGCCTTTTGGGGGCATCGTGAGCTTCTTTTGGGCCGTTCTGGGGGTCCTCTTGGCCTGCCTTGAAGCCCTCTTGGGGGCCCCTTGGGCCGCCTTGGGGCGATCTCGCAGGCTTCTTGGGCCGTCTTGGACGCTGCTACGACACAACAGGCGAATCTGCCAAACAACTGTTGCCTCCTGGGGGCTCTCCTGAAGGCCTCTTGGGCCGTCTTCGGGGTCTATTGGGCCGTTTTTTTTTGTCCGTACCCGCACTGGCCCAGGAGCATCGGTATCAGGTACGTCCAATCGACGTGCTGCTCCCGATACACGCGTGCGCACATGGCACAGAAGCCCCAAGACGTGTTATTAAACACATTGCGAAGCCAAGGGGATCGAGCACGCACACGCAAACCGAAGAAGACTCAACGGATCAAAAGCCACAAAAGTGCGTAGCTGACATGAATTAATTACGAAAAGACGGCTCTCTTTCTCTCTCTCTCTCCTTCATCTCCGCTGGCCCCCGCCGAAGCCCCAACCAATCTCCCGCCGCCCCTGGCGACCCGTGTCGACGTAGCAAGGCCTGCCAGACGCCCAAGCCGCAACCCCGCAAGCTTCTTGAGGTAGACACGGGACACGGGAGCCCAAGGCTGCTGCGCGGATAGATGCCGGCGATCGCGCCGGCCAACTCGACGCGTGCTCATCAGTCCCACGTTGCCTCCGCAAACCTGCCAGTCTGGAACTTTGCAAGGACGCCCAGGCGTCTGCCACCTATCAGATTCGCGGCATAGTCGTCCCCTGTGGGATGCATGGGACCTCCGTTGGGGCAGACGCACATCATGTCCTTCTCTTGCATTCGCATCTTACCAAGGCCAAGGAAGTTGGCAGCCGCTTCGTTGTCGTTCATTGACCCACCAGGTACGGGATTGCTCGCGCGCTGCTCCTTGATCCTCTGCCAACGAATCTTCCAGCGTGGTGTTGAGCGCGGACCTTTGTTCGTGTCCAGTCCATCCCTGTGACGCTGGCACTCTGGCGTGACGTCCTCTAGTGACTCGGCATGCGCATCGAACCCAAGAAGTCCGCCAATGTCTGCACGACCGAGTGCGCTCAAACGCCGTACGGCCAAATTCAGGTGCTCCTGCATGGGGAGGTCTTGGCGGACCACGATCATCGCGGAATCTTCGCTCAACTTGCTTTGCATCATGATCTGAATCTGCCCGGCTACGGTCGGCAATCCTTCCTTCACGCTCTTTTTGGTGCGCCACTGTGACTTGGCCATCGTCACCCTGACGCCTTCCTTTGCCTGCTGCTCGGAGAGAAGGATGTTTCCATCGGTCCAATCCGCGAGCCTCGTCCACGGTACATCTTCTGGCGCGCCTGGATCCAGCACCCGGAGCCCCAAGAGCTCGTCACTTCCATTCTTGGTGTGTGACCTGAGGTAGGAGCGCACCTGCACGACAGCCTCACCAATCCACGCGCCCGATAGCTCAACCGCGGTGATGTACGTGGTGCATGGCTTCCCGTGCTCGGGGCGGATCGTTGCCTGAAGCTGCACCTCGGCGGTCCTGTCGGCGGCCTGCGGGATCCGGAGCAATGTGAACTCGCCGCCGTGGTTAATGTCGAAATGCTCGCCTTGAAGGTTGACCAAGTGCGGGTCACCCTTGGCCGACACCGTCGGGGCTGGGGTGGGCAGAGGAGAGACCGGGGGGCCGATGCAACATCCGCCGTTCCCGTAGCTGATGCCCATGTAGGAATCAAGGACCGTGTTGTTCCCACTGCACTGCTCGTCACACCTGTACCCGACATCGCAGATTTCTATGCCGCATCCGCAGGGATACTGTCCGCTAAGCGAGATTCCATTGACATTTGTACAAGCAGAGACGATCGCGTCGAACTTGTTGAAGGGCGCGTTCACCCCGTGGTCCAGCACGAAGAAAGGCCCACTCTCACTGAGCAGGGACTCATATTCTGACGACAACGTCTGGGTATCATTGAAACCAACCTTGTCGATGATAGTCATTCTCTCGAAGTGGCCAGGGTTTCGCGTCGACATGGTGATCCCATCGCCCTTCTGCAGCAATACCCCGCTCTCGTCTATGTCCTTGTTGACGAAAGCAACGCGGGACCCAATCGCGAGGGGTTCAGTGAGCCACACACCCGAGAGGCAGTTATCGAAGTCGCCCACGTCCTCTTTGTCCGCGGGGCAGTCGCTGCAGGCCTCCGAGCGGCGCCGCCGCGTGGCACCGTTGGTGCATTGCTGGCAGACGCTGGTGCCGTCCATGAAATAGTATCCGTAGCCGCATTCAGCTGGGCCCTGGATTGGGAACCTAGGCAAATCATACGGCGAGTCCCCGCACTCTGTCTGGGTAACGCAGCCATCCCCGTCCGTGTCGATCTCGGTAAAGTGCCCGCTGAGACTCTCATCTTTGTTCACTTCTGCCTCCACTAGGCAACCATCACCGTCTAAGTCAAGGTAAGGAAACATGCCACATCCCTGGTCACAGGTGCACGGTGCCCCAGGTTCCATCGTCGGCGATGGGGTGGGAAGATATGCTTCATATGTGATGTTCACCGTCATGTCGGAAACTTCACCGTCGCATGCCACCGTCCAAACTGTGCTCCCCAAAGGGACACTATTGAAATCAGTACTACCGTGATGCCCAAAATAAGCGCACTCCGAATCAGAATCTAAATCCATGGTCGCTGTCATGTTTGGTGAGTCTGAGTCGAGAATCCATCGCGGCTGCTGATATTGCAAAGGTCGCTCGATGCCATCGCACGACACGTCCCAATATATGTAATTGCCATCGGTGTTGCTGTATACTGGCGCTCCTGTTGCGCTGCTCCCAGCAAGCACGAAGTAGGGGCTGCCGATCGAAATCGTCAAACACGGCCATTCTACCTTGAGAATGCCCGGAGGAGAGCACGAATAGCCTGACCTGTCCTTTGAGCAAACCTCGCTTGTGACACACACCACGTCAGGCCCGCACTGACACGGGTAGGAAGAACTCAGAAACGATCCATCCGTAACATCGCAAGGGTCTGGTGCAGGCGTGGGTGCAGGAGTGGGCGCGGGCGTCGGTACCCGGTTAAAATTGACACTGAGGGCTCCAAGCGGGGTTGGGTTGGTACAGGTGGTGTTAGAGTCATGCCCGTTCGTTTCCCCACACGGTACATCGTAGAGTTCGCAGTGGCCTCTCCAGATCGACTGCCAAGGGTGAAGACCGATGGCCTTGCAGTCGGGGATCAATGAGCACTCCGAGGCACACAACTCGAGAGACGCGAATTCTTCTGACAACTCTCTGATTGGTGTTCCACACTGGCAATTGCGACCGGTTTGCTCGTATCCAGGATAGGCCGATATTAGTAGGTCATCCTCATGGATTTCTGTTGGCATTGGAGTTCCAACATGCTGCGCTGTAGGCATCGGAGTTCCTATATATTGAGCTGTAGGCATCGGGGAACCATTACTTATCCGGAGCTGGTCTGCTGACCGCCAAGAGCAAGGCTTGGGGCAAACATCGGAGAACTTGTCCACACCGTGCAGGTGCTGCTGGAAATCCTCGAAGCTGGAATTACTCGTCAGAGGGAAATACCATGCTGGGTGCTTTTTGATGCCCGTCCGCATCGCCCACTCAACCTTCTCGTAGCACTCGTCGCCCTCAACACTGGTGCGGCACTCCTGTGGCACTGCGGGCAACTGTTCTGTCGGTCGCTTCTCTGACTGCGCCGCTGCACATGGCTTGGGACACACGTCAGAAAGCCTGTCCACGGCGTGCAGGTGCTGCTGGAAGTCCTCGAAGCTGGAATTACTCGTCAGAGGGAAATACCATGCTGGGTGCTTTTTGATGCCCGTCCGCATCGCCCACTCAACCTTCTCGTAGCACGCGTCGCCCTCAACACTGGTGCGGCACTCCTGTGGCACTGCGGGCAACTGCTCTGTCGGTCGCTTCTCTGACTGCGCCGCTGCACATGGCTTTCTGCACACGTCAGAGAGCCGACCCACGGTGTGCAGGTGCTGCTGGAAGTCCTCGAAGCTGGAATTACTCGTCAGAGGGAGATACCACTTTGGGTGTTGTTTGATGCCCGTCCGCATCGCCCACAGCACCTTCTCGTAACACTCGTCGCCCTGGGTTGAGGTATGGCATCCCGGCTGGATCCCACTGCCACGCAAGAGACTGGCCGTGTTCATCTGCATGAGCTGCAGGTCCACGTGCTCAGCGCAAGTAGTTACAAGCCCCACTGCGCACAGTTGCGCCATGACTCGAAACATAGCTTGGACCGTGTATGATTGAAAATGAAGCTATACGAAGCTATTCGGTACCGATAGCTACGCGGAGCTATGCCGATCGGAGATCAAACGTACTTGGACTAAAAAGCCTTGAGCCACAACGGCGACGGAGGGCCTCTTGGGCCGTCTTGGGGATCTCTTGGGCCGTATTGAGTCCGTTTTGCGCTGCCCTGAAGCTCTCCTGCGCCTCTCCGATCCCTTCTCTGATCGCTTTGAGCTTACTGGCAAGGCCCAGCAGCGCGCCCTGGAAGGCGCGGCAGCCTTGGCCCCAAACCTCCAGATCCCGGGGGGGCGATGCTTTGTGCATACGCATACGCATATAGGAAACATAGGAACCCTGTGCATACGCATACGCATATAATAAGACATCTACACATGCACATACATGTAAGTGCACAAGTACATACATCTAGACACCTACGCATGAACATACACATACACATATACACATATACACATACACATACACACATACACATACACGTACACATACACATACACATGCACATACACATACACATACACATACACATACACATACACATACACGTACACGTACACGTACACGTACACGTACACATGCACGTACATCTACACATATACATACACATACACATGCACATACACACATACACATGTAGATGTATGTATATAGATACACAAACATAATCAGCATATCAATTTACATTGGTATACACATATATAATGTGCTCCTCCCACACACACGTGATCATACATATTATTCGGATTTGTATCTATACTTTCCCCTCCCTCATCTGCTCCCCGCTCTCCGTCGCTCCTCCTCATCCTCTTATCCTCCTTCAGCGGGCCAGTGCAAACTCGGGCTGAGGGCGGCGGGGTAGCGCAAGGCTTCTTAGTGGGAACCATTTGGAAAACACCAAAGAAGAATCTTATTGGATTGGAAAACGCCACAAACGGGATTGTACTGGAAAGCCTCACAACAGGAATCTTCTGGAAAGCACCACAGAGGGGTTCGATTGGAACGCAGGACCCCTTTGGAAAGCACCACACAAAGATTCGAGTGGAAAGCCTCGCAAAAGGAATCCTTTGGAAAGCACCACAAAGGGATTCGATTGGATTGGAAAACGCCACACCGAGATTCTATTGGAAAGGGATTCTAGTGTATGTCTGTGTCTGTGTGTCTGTGTGTCTGTGTGTCTGTTTGCCTGTGTGTCTGTGTGTCTGTGTGTCTGTGTCTGTGTGTCTGTGTGTCTGTGTGTCTGTGTGTCTGCGTGTCTGTGTGCCTGTGTGTATGTGTGTCTGTGCCTGTGTGTCTGTGTGTCTGTGTGTCTGTGTGTCTGTGTGTCTGTGTGTCTGTGTGTCTGTGTGTCTGTGTCTGTGACTGTGTCTCTGTGTGTCTGTGTCTGTGTATACGTGTCTGTGTGTCTGTGCCTGTGTGTCTGTAACCGTGTGTCTGTGTCTGTGTATCCGTGTCTGTGTGTCTGTGTCCGTGTGTCTGTGTCTGTGTGTCTGTGTCTGTGTGTCTGTGTCTGTGTGCCTGTGTCTGTGTGTTTGTGTCTGTGTGTCTGTGTCTGTGCCTGTGTGTCTGTGTGTCTGTGTCTGTGTCTGTGTCTGTGTGCCTGTGTCTGTGTGTCTGTGTCTGTGTGTCTGTGTGTCTGTGTCTGTGTGTCTGTGTCTGTGTGTCCGTGTGTCTGTGCCTGTGTGTCTGTGTGTCTGTGTGTCTGTGTGTCTGTTTGTCTGTGTGTCTGTGTGTCTGTGTGTCTGTGTGTCTGTGTGTCTGTGTGTCTGTGTGTCTGTGTCTGTGTGTCTGTGTGCCTGTGTATGTCTGTGGGGCAGCCTTGGGGTCCTCTTGGCCTGGCTTGAAGCCCTCTTGGGGGCCTCTTGGGCCGCCTTTGGGTGATCTCGCAGGCTTCCTGGACAGTCTTGGACGCTGATACGACACCCAAAGCGAATACGCAAAAAAGCATCTTCCTCAGGGAATGGGATGATGTTTGCCTCTTACGGGCTCTCCTGAAGGCCTTTTGGGGCGTCTTTGGGGCCTCTTGGGCCGTCTTGGGGGCCTCATGGTCCGTCTTGAGGTCGCCTTGCGCTGCCTTGGGGCTCTCCTGGGGAATTTGGGCCCTCTTAGGGACCTCCCATGGCCCTCGTGGGTCTCTCTTGGAAGCCTTTTGGGGGCATCGTGAGCTTCTGTTGGGCCGTTCTGGGGGTCCTCTTGGCCTGCCTTGAAGCCCTCTTGGGGGCCTCTTGGGCCGCCTTGGGGCGATCTCGCAGGCTTCTTGGGCCGTCTTGGACGCTGCTACGACACAACAGGCGAATATGCTAAACAACTGTTGCCTCCTGGGGGCTCTCCTGAAGGCCTCTTGGGCCGTCTTCGGGGTCTCTTGGGCCGTTTTTTTTCCTGTACCCGCACTGGCCCAGGAGCATCGGTATCAGGTACGTCCAATCGACGTGCTGCTCCCGATACACGCGTGCGCACATGGCACAGAAGCCCCAAGACGTGTTATTAAACACATTGCGAAGCCAAGGGGATCGAGCACGCACACGCAAACCGAAGAAGACTCAACGGATCAAAAGCCACAAAAGTGCGTAGCTGACATGAATTGATTACGAAAAGACGGCTCTCTCTCTCTCTCTCCTTCATCTCCGCTGGCCCCCGCCGAAGCCCCAACCAATCTCCCGCCGCCCCTGGCGACCCGTGTCGACGTAGCAAGGCCTGCCAGGCGCCCAAGCCGCAACCCCGCAAGCTTCTTGAGGTAGACACGGGACACGGGAGCCCAAGGCTGCTGCGCGGATAGATGCCGGCGATCGCGCCGGCCAATTCGATGCGTGCTCATCAGTCCCACGTTGCCTCCGCAAACCTGCCAGTCTGGAACTTTGCAAGGACGCCCAGGCGTCTGCCACCTATCAGATTCGCGGCATAGTGGTCCCCTGTGGGATGCATGGGACCTCCGTTGGGGCAGACGCACATCATGTCCTTCTCTTGCATTCGCATCTTACCAAGGCCAAGGAAGTTGGCAGCCGCTTCGTTGTCGTTCATTGACCCACCAGGTACGGGATTGCTCGCGCGCTGCTCCTTGATCCTCTGCCACCGAATCTTCCAGCGTGGTGTTGAGCGCGGACCTTTGTTCGTGTCCAGTCCATCCCTGTGACGCTGGCACTCTGGCGTGACGTCCTCTAGTGACTCGGCATGCGCATCGAACCCAAGAAGTCCGCCAATGTCTGCACGACCGAGTGCGCTCAAACGCCGTACAGCCAAATTCAGGTGCTCCTGCATGGGGAGGTCTTGGCGGACCACGATCATCGCGGAATCTTCGCTCAACTTGCTTTGCATCATGATCTGAATCTGCCCGGCTACGGTCGGCAATCCTTCCTTCACGCTCTTTTTGGTGCGCCACTGTGACTTGGTCATTGTCACCCTGACGCCTTCCTTTGCCTGCTGCTCGGAGAGAAGGATGTTTCCATCGGTCCAATCCGCGAGCCTCGTCCACGGTACATCTTCTGGCGCGCCTGGATCCAGCACCCGGAGCCCCAAGAACTCGTCACTTCCATTCTTGGTGTGTGACCTGAGGTAGGAGCGCACCTGCACGACAGCCTCACCAATCCACGCGCCCGATAGCTCAACCGCGGTGATGTACGTGGTGCATGGCTTCCCGTGCTCGGGGCGGATCGTTGCCTGAAGCTGCACCTCGGCGGTCCTGTCGGCGGCCTGCGGGATCCGGAGCAATGTGAACTCGCCGCCGTGGTTAATGTCGAAATGCTCGCCTTGAAGGTTGACCAAGTGCGGGTCACCCTTGGCCGACACCGTCGGGGCTGGGGTGGGCAGAGGAGAGACTGGGGGGCCGATGCAACATCCGCCGTTCCCGTAGCTGATGCCCATGTAGGAATCAAGGACCGTGTTGTTCCCACTGCACTGCTCGTCACACCTGTACCCGACATCGCAGATTTCTATGCCGCATCCGCAGGGATACTGTCCGCTAAGCGAGATTCCATTGACATTTGTACAAGCAGAGACGATCGCGTCAAACTTGTTGAAGGGCGCGTTCACCCCGTGGTCCAGCACGAAGAAAGGCCCACTCTCACTGAGCAGGGACTCATATTCTGACGACAACGTCTGGGTATCATTGAAACCAACCTTGTCGATGATAGTCATTCTCTCGAAGTGGCCAGGGTTTCGCGTCGACATGGTGATCCCATCGCCCTTCTGCAGCAATACCCCGCTCTCGTCTATGTCCTTGTTGACGAAAGCAACGCGGGACCCAATCGCGAGGGGTTCAGTGAGCCACACACCCGAGAGGCAGTTATCGAAGTCGCCCACGTCCTCTTTGTCCGCGGGGCAGTCGCTGCAGGCCTCCGAGCGGCGCCGCCGCGTGGCACCGTTGGTGCATTGCTGGCAGACGCTGGTGCCGTCCATGAAATAGTATCCGTAGCCGCATTCAGCTGGGCCCTGGATTGGGAACCTAGGCAAATCATACGGCGAGTCCCCGCACTCTGTCTGGGTAACGCAGCCATCCCCGTCCGTGTCGATCTCGGTAAAGTGCCCGCTGAGACTCTCATCTTTGTTCACTTCTGCCTCCACTAGGCAACCATCACCGTCTAAGTCAAGGTAAGGAAACATGCCACATCCCTGGTCACAGGTGCACGGTGCCCCAGGTTCCATCGTCGGCGATGGGGTGGGGAGATATGCTTCATATGTGATGTTCACCGTCATGTCGGAAACTTCACCGTCGCATGCCACCGTCCAAACTGTGCTCCCCAAAGGGACACTATTGAAATCAGTACTACCGTGATGCCCAAAATAAGCGCACTCCGAATCAGAATCTAAATCCATGGTCGCTGTCATGTTTGGTGAGTCTGAGTCGAGAATCCATCGCGGCTGCTGATGTTGCAAAGGTCGCTCGATGCCATCGCACGACACGTCCCAATATATGTAATTGCCATCGGTGTTGCTGTATACTGGCGCTCCTGTTGCGCTGCTCCCAGCAAGCACGAAGTAGGGGCTGCCGATCGAAATCGTCAAACACGGCCATTCTACCTTGAGAATGCCCGGAGGAGAGCACGAATAGCCTGACCTGTCCTTTGAGCAAACCTCGCTTGTGACACACACCACGTCAGGCCCGCACTGACACGGGTAGGAAGAACTCAGAAACGATCCATCCGTAACATCGCAAGGGTCTGGTGCAGGCGTGGGTGCAGGAGTGGGCGCGGGCGTCGGTACCCGGTTAAAATTGACACTGAGGGCTCCAAGCGGGGTTGGGTTGGTACAGGTGGTGTTAGAGTCATGCCCGTTCGTTTCCCCACACGGTACATCGTAGAGTTCGCAGTGGCCTCTCCAGATCGACTGCCAAGGGTGAAGACCGATGGCCTTGCAGTCGGGGATCAATGAGCACTCCGAGGCACACAACTCGAGAGACGCGAATTCTTCTGACAACTCTCTGATTGGTGTTCCACACTGGCAATTGCGACCGGTTTGCTCGTATCCAGGATAGGCCGATATTAGTAGGTCATCCTCATGGATTTCTGTTGGCATTGGAGTTCCAACATGCTGCGCTGTAGGCATCGGAGTTCCTATATATTGAGCTGTAGGCATCGGGGAACCATTACTTATCCGGAGCTGGTCTGCTGACCGCCAAGAGCAAGGCTTGGGGCAAACATCGGAGAACTTGTCCACACCGTGCAGGTGCTGCTGGAAATCCTCGAAGCTGGAATTACTCGTCAGAGGGAAATACCATGCTGGGTGCTTTTTGATGCCCGTCCGCATCGCCCACTCAACCTTCTCGTAGCACTCGTCGCCCTCAACACTGGTGCGGCACTCCTGTGGCACTGCGGGCAACTGTTCTGTCGGTCGCTTCTCTGACTGCGCCGCTGCACATGGCTTGGGACACACGTCAGAAAGCCTGTCCACGGCGTGCAGGTGCTGCTGAAAGTCCTCGAAGCTGGAATTACTCGTCAGAGGGAAATACCATGCGGGGTGCTTTTTGATGCCCGTCCGCATCGCCCACTCAACCTTCTCGTAGCACGCGTCGCCCTCAACACTGGTGCGGCACTCCTGTGGCACTGCGGGCAACTGCTCTGTCGGTCGCTTCTCTGACTGCGCCGCTGCACATGGCTTTCTGCACACGTCAGAGAGCCGACCCACGGTGTGCAGGTGCTGCTGGAAGTCCTCGAAGCTGGAATTACTCGTCAGAGGGAGATACCACTTTGGGTTTTGTTTGATGCCCGTCCGCATCGCCCACAGCACCTTCTCGTAACACTCGTCGCCCTGGGTTGAGGTATGGCATCCCGGCTGGATCCCACTGCCACGCAAGAGACTGGCCGTGTTCATCTGCATGAGCTGCAGGTCCACGTGCTCAGCGCAAGTAGTTACAAGCCCCACTGCGCACAGTTGCGCCATGACTCGAAACATAGCTTGGACCGTGTATGATTGAAAATGAAGCTATACGAAGCTATTCGGTACCGATAGCTACACGAAGCTATGCCGATCGGGGATCAAACGTACTTGATCTAAAAAGCCTTGAGCCACAACGGCGACGGAGGGCCTCTTGGGCCATCTTGGGGATCTCTTGGGCCGTATTGAGTCCGTTTTGCGCTGCCCTGAAGCTCTCCTGCGCCTCTCCGATCCCTTCTCTGATCGCTTTGAGCTTACTGGCAAGGCCCAGCAGCGCGCCCTGGAAGGCGCGGCAGGGCAGGGGGGCCTTGGCCCCAAACCTCCAGATCCCGGGGGGGCGATGCTTTGTGCGTGTATGTGTGTGTGTGGGAAGGGCGGGGGGGGGGCGGCGTTTTTCCCGCCCTCCACGGCTTCTAGAAACATAGGAACCCTGTGCATACGCATACGCATATAATAAGACATCTACACATGCACATACATGTAAGTGCACAAGTACATGCATCTAGACACCTACGCATGAACATACACATACACATATACAAATATACACATACACATACACACATACACATACACGTGCACATACACATACACATACACATACACATACACATACACATACACATACACATACACATACACATACACATACACATACACATACACATACACATACACGTACACGTACACGTACACGTACACATGCACGTACACATGCACATGCACATGCACGTACCCATACATCGGACGCCCATTCCCTGTGTTCTCGTCGGTCTCGTTCGTGGTTCTTTCGCAGGATGACCCAGGGTGCCCCCCAATAGTCCCCTCCCGAGAAAGAGTGCACACGTCCGAGCGATGGCAAGCCGACGGGGCCGACAGCGGAGCCGAAACCGAAGCCGACAGGCCGCAAGCATGCCCGGGAGGGCGCGCAGCGGCGCGGCCGCGGCGCAGAGGCACCGGGCCAGGCTCTCGCGCCGCCGAGGCGGCCGAGCCGCGGGCGCCCCCTGCCCGGCCCAAGGGCCGTCGAGAATCGGCTCGGCACGACACACCCGTCCCGAGGAGGAGGAGGAGGAGGAGGAGGAGGAGGAGGAGGAGGAGGAGGAGGAGGAGGGGACGGAGGTGGAGAGGAGGAGGAGGAGGAGGGGAGGAGTGGAGGAGGAGGAGGAGGAGGAGGAGGAGGAGGAGGAGGAGGAGGAGGAGGAGGAGGGGAGGAGGAGGAGGGGAAGGAGGTGGAGGAGGAGGAGGAGGAGGAGGAGGAGGAGGAGGAGGGAGGAGGAGGAGGAGGAGGAGGAGGAGGAGGAGGAGGAGGAGGAGGAGGAGGGGAGGAGGGGGAGGGGACGGAGGTGGGAGGAGGAGGAGGAGGAGGAGGAGGAGGAGGGGACGGAGGAGGAGGAGGAGGGGGAGGGGAAGAAGGAGGCGGAGGAGGAGGAGGCGGAGTCGGAGGAGGATCGCAAGGCGGTCGTTTTCCGGCTTCCGGGCGCCAGGAGGACGGCTTCCAGCGGGCGCGGCAGGCTCTCCGCGGCTCGAGCTCGTGACGGCGGCAGAGAGGGTGTCAACGTTCGGAGGAGACGTGCCTTGGCATTCTGCTGCAACGAGGGCACTGCGCTCTCGAGAGCCCAGCAACGCACTTGCGCCCCAGAATGTATCGCACGCCCCAGATCTACTGCAACCCACAAATACGAGCTACATGCATGTATATATATATATGTGCATGCATGCATTCATGCATGCATGTATGTTTGTATGTATGTATGTATGTATGTGTGTATGTATGTATATATGTATGTATGTATGCATGCATGCATGCATGCATGCATGCATGTATGGATGGATTGATGTATGTATGTATGTATGTATGTAGGTAGGTAGGTAGGTAGGTAGGTAGGTAGGAAGGTAGGTAGGTAGGTAGGTAGGTACGTATGTGTGTATGTGTGTATGTGTGCATGTGTGCATGCGTGTATGTGTGTATGTGTGTATGTGTGTATGTGTGTATGTGTGTATGTATGTATGCATGCATGCATGCATGCATGTATGTATGTATGTATGTATGTATGTATGTATGTATGTATGTATGTATGTATGCATGTATGTATGTATGTATGTGTGCGTATGTATGTATGTATGTATGTATGTATGGATGCATGCATGTCTGTCTGTCTGTCTGTCTGTCTGTCTGTCTGTCTGTCTGTCTGTCTGTCTGTCTGTCTGTCTGTCTGTCTGTCTGTCTGTCTGTCTGTCTGTCTGTCTGTATTATGTGTGTATGTATGTATGTATGTATGTATGTATGTATGTATGTATGTATGTATGTATGTATGGATGGATGTATGTATGTATGTATGTATGTATATCTATGGCACAAAATGCATTGCGCGACTGTCTTGGAGCTGGACCCCAATCGCGTCAACCAGATTCCTGCCAAGAAGAAGCTGTCTCCATCATCCCCGCCCCCCTCATCCCCCCACATCCTCCTGTCGCGAAAAGCACTACGGAATGTTTTCCTATGTTTTCGGCGTCTGGGGACCCTCGCCAAGCCCCGAGACCGTCAGACAAAAAAAACAAATCATGAAAAAGCGGTCGCGGGGAAAGGGTCCTGACCTCTGGGGGTCAGCGTTGCAACGAGATCACGACGTCGGAGTCCTGGGTCCTCCGGACACTCCTCCTCTGCACTGGCAAACGTCGAAGTCTACACCCACAAACCCTCCGATGCGACGACGAGGGGACCTCTTTCTCCGCCTCTTGGCGGCGCGCACAAGGGGGTGGGGGGAGGGGGGAGGGCTTCTTAGAAGCAGGCTGCTTCTTAGAAGGCGCCGGCCTCACGTCTATAGAGAAGGCCCGCGCCTTCTAAGAAGCAGGGGTGCTTCTAAGAAGCCCCCCCCCTCCCCCCACCCCCCTCTGCGCGTGGCTGAGCCTCCCCTCCGCGACTCCGAGGGGGGTGGTTTGCAGAGGGTGCGGTCCGCAACAGCCGCGACCCGGGGCGCGGGCGAGGACCTCGACGGAGCTCTCCGCCGAAGCCCCGCGGGGGCGCGACGAGGGCGCCGACCGCTTGCCGCCAGGCCCCGACGACGCGGCTCACCGACCGCACCCCGGCGCCACCACAGCGTTTGCCCAAGCATCGTTCCATCGACCCCCCCCCCTCCTCCTCCTCCTCCTCCTCCTCCTCCTCCTCCTCCTCCTCCTCCTCCTCCTCCTCCTCCTCTCCTCTCCTCCTCCCCTCCTCCTCCCTCCTCCTCCTCCTCCTCCTCCTCCCTCCTCCTCCTCCTCCTCCCTACTCCTCCTCCTCCTCTCCTCCTCCTCCTCCTCCTCCTCTCCTCCTCCTCCTCCTCCTCCTCCTCCTCCTCCTCCTCCTCCCCCCTCCTCCTCCTCCTCCCCTCCCCTCCTCCTCCTCCTCCTCCTCCTCCTCCTCCTCCCCCTCCCCCTCCCAGCACCCCCAGTGACCCTGGGTAAGAGTGACCTTTGGTGCGCGGCTCTTTGGGGGGCCGCGGGGGGGGCCAAACCTGAGCTCAAGCCGCTGCTCCTGCTGCGTTTTCAGCCATCTGGGGACCCATCTGTGCCCGCACCAAAGGTCACTCCGGCGAAAGGTCACTCTTACGTCTAGTCGACCCATGGGCGTGGCCTGGGCCCCGCTGGCCGATTTACCCCCCCGGATGGGGACACGGGCCGCTCAGTCCGGGCATCGAGGGGTACATCCCCAGCTGGGGTGGTGGGATGGTGGGGGTCTGGATGGGTATGGGGATCGGGACAGGGGTCGGTTACGGCAGGTTCGTGTCGTGTCGACCCCAGCGTTGGCTCCTGACACCTCGGAAATCGTTCAGCGTTGAACGATCGGGCAGTGCCGAAGCGCCAGCTCGTTCAACATCGACCGATTCTGGGTCGCCGGCGGCGTTCAACGTTGAACGCCGGCGGCGGGATCGCCGCCGGTCGAAACGACACCAACCTACCGTCAACGATACCGAGTGTAGCCGCTCATCCCCATCTTCGGCCGGCCCGGGCGCGGACGGGCGCGGGGCGCGCGCCAGGACGGCCAGCACCTGTCGCGGGGCGCCGACTGTATACACCGCTAGCCTGCCACCGAGCCTGGCCCAGCCACCCCCGCGCCCAGGACCGGTGCCTGTGCCGACTGGTGACGAGGCTAAGCTAGCGAGAAACATCGTGGCCCGATCTTGGGCCCGGCCAGGAGGTGGTGCAGGTGAACCGACTCAGACATCGGACTCCGTGACTTTACCAGGGCGCGGTTGCCCCAGAGGTCTGAGTGGACCAGAAAACAAACGACACCACCCCACCTACAGCCCCACGGGACCTAGCATATACTATGAATTTCAGTTTGGGCTTTTGCGTGGTATACGCAACCGTCCCCGATGGGCCGTAGCACAACATGGAAAGCCGTGGGTGGGCGGGTTCGTTTGATTTTTGGTCGACTAAACCCGATCCGGAAACTGGTTTTACGTCCCGATTCGTTTTGTTAAAGGCCGCCCCAGAGCCCGATGGTCTGGCATTGACTGGAAACCTTCTTCTTTTTTTTTCCTCCCAATCCTCCTGTGTTGATATGGGTCCGCGCTTTGAATCAGCAACGCCGCGCCTTCCGACCTCCTCCTCATTCCTGCCCCTCCTGACCGCATGCCCATGTCGGCACACCCGTTGCACATTCAGGAGCTCTAGACGGGGCTCCATCTAGGACCCCAGTGGCGCAGCTCGCATCGCGTGCCACCCCTCAAGTCGGCACACTTCCAAACGTTTCGAGGCCCATCAAAAGCCCCACCTGGGGTCCCAGTGGCGGCATGGCGCACCCGCCCCCAATTCGGAAAACAAAAAAAAAAACTCACACGCTTCGTGGCCCCATCCATATTGAGCCCCACCTACAACCCCCAGTGGTACAGCTCGCACGGCGTGCCTGCTCTCATGTCGGCACACCCCTCACACGTTTCGGGATCCACGTGGGAGCTCCGCCTACAGTCCATATGGCACCTCGCATGGCACATCCGCTGTGAAGCGATCTCATTAACTTCTAGCTCAGTATGCCCATCTTTTCTGGTATTGTCCTTTCCCCTTCTATGCTGTTGTTGTACTGCTGCTGACCGCTGCAGCTTAAGACCCTTGCACCGATCTCTGCGCAAAATGGGACCGCACCCTTCACGAACCCTGCAG